CTACGACGTGTTCTGTATTCAGGAAACTCTTCTAAAACAATTCAGCAACTTACATGTGAAAGGTTTTAAAATCTTCAGAGAGGATATAGTCCAGCCTGGAGATAGAGGAGTATGCGTGCTGATTCGTGAAGGTATTAAATGTGATTCTGTCTATTTTGACAACGTTTCTCACAAGTCTGTGGAATTTGTAGCCATAAAAATTTTATTCAAGGAGTTGGATACTATAACAATAGTAAACTTGTATAGTCATCCTGGCATGGATACTCCAGTTTCCTTCTATAGGTCGCTTTTTGGCGTGCTTCATTCCACCAAGCATTTTCTCATTTTAGGAGATTTCAACGCACATCACTCTGCATGGGGATGCAGACGACGGAGCCTAGCGGGAGTGAGACTCCTCAGAGCTGTGGAAGAGATGTACTTAGTCATTCTCAATGACGGGGGCACTCCGACCCTCTTGCACCCTTCGCCTGGAGCGTTTTCGGTTATTGATCTGGTTATCGCTTTCCCCCAGTTAGCTCCTCTGTGTGAGGTCTCGATGGAGGCAGATACATACGGAAGTGATCATTATCCCATAATTACCACCTTAGGCGCTCAGGTTTGCTTAACGTCCAGATTCCGTTACAGGATCTCGTTGTCTGAGGAGCAGCTCCAGCTATATTACCACAATCTTTCGACTAAGCCTAACAGCCTCTCTTCTCGAAATCGTGAGAATGGACTGGAACTTTACAATTCTTTTGTTAACGATGTTTTGACTGAAGCTAGAGATTTTCTTCCTGAGGACAAACGCTTCCCGCGCTCAATAGTCTGGCGCGCAAAACGGGATCTCCCGCCCTGATGGAATAGTGAATGTTCTGACGTGATTGGGCGCAGGAGGGAGGCTGTCCGGCTCTTTGTCTCCTGCCCCACTCCGGGGAATTACGCGGAATTTTGTAGAGTTCGCAGAGAGTGCTCCAGGAAGCTGCAGGAACAGAAGCGAACTGGATAGCGCGAATTTGTTGGCAAATTCAACAGCAAAACCCCCTCCCGATAAATATGTGGCCTCATTAAAAGTTTTAAAGGAAGGGCTGCTGCTATTTTTTCGAATATCGACTCGCAGGACCTTAGGCGTGTCTCTTCTGAAATGATCAATAAACTCTATCCGGCATCAGCTTAATTGGATCGAGCTAGGTCGGTTGAGGAGATGAGGGTCGATGATGGCTCTCTTACTGATCTATGTCCTTGGTTGGACGATTCCCTCACTAGAAAGGAATTTAGATGTGCCCTGGTGACGGTGCGTAAAAGGTCAGCGCCCGGTCTCGACCAGGTTAGCTTCGAGATGCTTAGCCAGCTCCCCATGGAATATGATAATCTCTTGTTGGAGGTATTCAATCTTATCTTTGCTGAAGTCTCTTTTCCGGAGTCGTGGAAGAGTTCCCTCGTGGTTCTTATCCCTAAATCGGGTGGTAAGGGAGTTAGGCCTATCTCCCTAATGTCATGTATTTGTAAATTGATGAAGCGCATACTCTATCGCCGCTTGGTTCGTTGAGTCAAGGTCTATCCTTCCTCAAGGACAATCCGGTTTTAGACCTTTCAGGTCATATGATGACAACCTGGCTACTCTGGTCACCTCGATTAGGACCGGTTTCTTAGACGGACAGCTTACAGTTGCCGTCTTTCTAGACATAGAAGGAGCATTTGACACACATATTTTCATTGACGATCTCAGGGAGCTGGGAGTCCCGGCACGATTCAGAAAGTTTGTAGAGAATTTAATTAGTGTGAGATCTCTTAGCTTCGTGGTCGAGGGGGAGCTCCAGGGACCATTCTTCGCTCTGAGGGGCACGCCTCAGGGGTCCACACTGAGCCTTTGATTTATATCTCAGATCGATTGACCAGCATTTGCACCATGGCACGCGATTCCTTCAGTATGCTGATGATGTGGTTCTATTTTCTACACACAGAGATCTGAATATCGCTCTCGAATCAGTGCAGTCCTCCTTGACTCGGGTCTCGGAGTTTTTAAAGTACAGAAATTTGATGATATCCTCTAGCAAGACCAAGTACATGATTTTCAGAAATGACAATCCCTCCAGGGTTGATGCAAACCTTGCCATCGGGGGGGCATCGATTCCAAGGGTTGGTGTCCACCGATTCCTGGGAGTCCTGTTGGATTGTGGCCTCAGCGGTGGTCAGCATCTCAAGTATTTGGTCGACAAGGGTAGGGGGATCGCTGACATTGTGGCAGTGCTGTCCAGTGTCACTTGGGGCTCTCACCCCCCGTTTACTCCTCACCATATATCGGGCTGCTTTCCGCAGTGCTGTGGAATACGGAAGTCAATTCTTCGTCTGGCGTCCTACTAATGCAGAATTTGTCAGGCTCCAACGCCTCCAGTACAGGATCATAAGGAGAGCCATGGGATATCGCATCTCAACACCGATCAACGTCATGTTGGCCGAAGCCAAGGAACACAATTTTTCCAATCGACTTAAATACATTACATCTAAATTTATTTACAAGACTATGGCCAGCAAATTCAGCCCTGTCTACAGCTCCTTGGAGGAAATGGAGGTTGTAGCCGTGCGGAAGAATCGTAAAGCCGAGGCCATCAAGGCCTCCAGGCTCTTCAGACATTATGTTCTAACTCGACATGAGGAAAAGATTGTTTACAGATCCACTTATCCTCCAGCCTTCTGGCATACATACGAGGTCTCGTCCACAGGAATAGCATTCATCCAACGAATGCGAGGCTGTGATAAGAACAACACGAACCTGATAAAAGCGGATTTTTATCACAAATCTTTCTCGTACAGGCAGGGGGCAGTCTCCTTCTACACGGATGGATCGAAAAGTTTGGACGAAGCTGTTGGCGCCGCCGTCTACTCACCGGAAATGGAGGGTACCATCGAACACAGATTACCGCTCGAAACATCGGTCTTTACGGCGGAACTTTGGGCTATTTACCAGGCTGTGCTGGCTGCTGGAGATCTCCAGTTAACCAAGTGTGTCATCTTCTCTGACTCTGAGAGTGCTCTGGAGGCACTTAGCAACTTCAACAGCATACTCCAACGGAACTATTTAATTTACTTCATCAAACAGGCATACATTGACGTCACCAAACGCGGGACTGAAATCACTCTATTCTGGGTTCCTGCTCACTGCGGCATCCCAGGTAACGAAATCGCAGATCAGTGCGCCAAACGTGCGGCGCTTGGAGCTTGCCGACCACATTTTCAGGTGCCTCATGTGGACCTTCAGATTCTGTCAAGGATGGCTGCGGTCAGGCGCCAAGAGGATTACATAAAGCGAATCTCGGTTTGCGCTGGCAAGCGCACGCGTTATTACGAACTTTATCATACGCCGTCTATGAGGACCTGGTTCCACGAGGAAACTTTATCTAGGAATGAAATTGTTCTAATAAATAGACTCAGAGCTAATCATGTGAACACTCAAGAAAGTCTTCATAGAATTGGTATTGTGAATTCATCGGCCTGTCCGTGCGGCGATTCTCGACAAACCGTCAATCATCTTATTTTTCACTTTATTTCATAACATATAATAAACACTCTCTTCCAATCCGTAAATATATCGAGAACAAATTTCCTGACTCCCCCCAAGATATCCTCCCTGCCCTTTCCTCCCCCTCCCCCAGGCTCTGCCGCTTGATCTTGACCTTTATGAAGGCCAACGACCTTTTCTTTTAATCTTGACTTCTTTCTATCCTTTGGCGCGCTGCTTACCGATAGGTGGCAGCAGGCATCTGGGTGGTGGGGGTCTACGCAGGGGAAAGAAATTGGACAACTCTGCTAGGGTTCCGCCGAAAGCAACGAATCAATTTTGATGACATCAGTGGCCTAGTCCAACCTTGGTTGCCTGGTCAAAATCAGAAGAAGAAGAAGAAGAATGCTGTCCATTCTTAGTACCCAAATGTACGCATGCGCATAAAGCTTGATTTAAGAAAAGAGGTTAGAAATCATGTATGCGCGTACATACATATATGATATTTAGTGTGACATTGTAATCTATATATTTGGATAATATTACTTTATATAAAATAAATAATTATATATATTAACGCGCGCGTATGTATATTTTGCGTTGAAGGAAGCATGGTAGAGTTAATTGTTATAACGTTAGAAGACGATTTATTTATAACTAAATTTAGAAATGAACATATAATTTTATATTTGGCAGATCATGAATGCAGAAATTTTCATATCACATACTTTTTTGCAACTATGCAATATGTATATGATTTTGAAAAAGAGACGAAAATCTAAACGATGGAGAAATAGGAGGTGACTTGTGAGACCTATAAATACACGTCGAATATTACAAGGTGATTTTCAACATCTATTCCAGGAGATGAAAATGGATCCAGACTTATTTTTTTGATACACAAGAATGGATGTGCATATGTTTTCCATTTTATTAAGAATGCTTTCTCCATATTTATCAAAGAAAAGTACGAAAGCTTTACCATCTGAGCAACGTCTTGCAATTACTCTCAGGTGACTTTCTCTTCGCAAGCACACATAGTGTGAATAAATAGTATATTAGAATAAATAACGGATAATAAAGTTTCCACAATTTTAAAAACAACCTTCAAAGAATTTTTCTAATAAAACTCACCTATTTCAGATATTTAGCTACAGGTGATCAGATGTTGTCAATAGCACTAGTTTATCGTGGCGAATCAACAGCACACGCTATTGTAAAAGAAACATGTGTTGCAATAGTAAATGCATTATCACCTTTTTATTTACGCATTCCAAATGGAGATGAATGGAAAGAAATTTGTGCAGGATATCTACAACACTGGAATTTCCCTAAGTGTGTTGCACGTTAAGACGGAAAGCACGTTCAAATTCAGGCACCACCAAATTCTGGCAGTTTATATTATAATTACAAAAAAACTTTTAGTATAGTACTGCTAGCTATGTGCGACTATAACTATAGATTTACTGTGGTAGATGTTGGTTCATACGGTAGCGAATATAACAGTGGAATTTTTAATGATTCTAATCTATCAGCAGCATTTCGTAATAACACTGAATTTGCCAAAGGGTACTGCAATTACCAGGTTCTGAATTACAAACGCTATGCTTTTTTGTCGCGGACGATGCTTTCGCTCTCACAGAACATGTGATAAAACCATACTCAAAAAGACATCTTAGCGATAAAGAACTAAATTTCAATGGGGTGATCCCGATTGACCACGTCTCGATTGGACACCACCAATTACAGCGACCGGTGCTTAGGGGCTTTGTAGTCTCAAGCGCTGTGAGTGGCTCGTGTTCAATTGAGCCGTTGTCGAGTGTCTAACTGGGTGCCACCCGACCTAAAATGGGCCATAATTGATTAGAGCTTGACCGAGAAATCGGTAGACCATCGATACCAATTTGAATTTGAATAGGAGACCGTATTCTTGCTTCTAGATAAAAATTGGAGAATGTTGTATTCAATACTAAAATGACAATATTCTCCCGGAAATATTTCTGTGATAACGGAAGAACGTGGTGTACGTAATAATGTCTTTGCACATTTTGGGAGATTAGAAAAAGTAGGAAGTGCTGCTCTTAAACCGGACAATAAATGCGATAAAGCTGCACGAGAAATACGATGTGTGCAAGCTTATTGTACTAAAAATGTCTTGAAATCGTTTTCTTTTTCTAAATTACTATCCTCCCTTATACTGTCCTCTCTTATACTGTCGTCTCTTATACTGTCCTCTCTTATATTATCTTTTCGATGCAAAGACACATTTATAGAAACAGATGTAGAAATATTCGTTTTGTTTGTTATACTCGTTATATTCGTAATATTTGTTAAATCAGGAAGTGGTAAATTTATTATATTTTGTTCAGTTTCATTTAAAATCGGGTGATTCAAATCGGCTATCTCGTCTTCATCACTCGAGGAAGAATTACATAAAATTACATTCGTATTGATTCCCGATTCTTCATCAAATAGTACAAATAATTTATCGTTTTCTTCTCGAATTAATTTACGGCGATCTCGTTGAAATACACGACGGTAATTTATGCTTTGACATGGTTATTAATTGTTAATTATTTTTTATTATATACAGGGTGATCCATTTTAACTTAGACAGCCAAATAACTCGAAACATTGCGATTAAATAAAAAAATGTTTGAAACAAAAATTGTTGGATATGAAGAAGCTGATTGAACTATGACCTTGACAATGACCTTGTCCTTCATTTTCAAGGTCATTTGAAGGTCAAGGTCATTTTTTAAAATGGGAAGCCCCATTTTTCGTTGAATATTCTTGTAGCTTATCTCGAGAGCTTTCCAAAACACTATAATAAAATATTTTTTCATTAATTACTTCTCGAGTTATAAGGCTCGAATGTTACAGTCCCGCCGCCGACATTAGCATTACGCAAGGTATCCGACCGATGGCTAAAACCTCTTGAATGTTGTTCAGGATCATATCCTAGATAACATTCGTTAAGATCATGGTCATTGGAGATTGTTTCTCTTATTTTCATTTTTGCACTGAAAATTCATTTTTATGTAAAAATGAAAATAAGAGAAACAATCTCAAATGACCTTGATCTTAACGAATGTTATGTAGAATATGATCCTGAACAACATTCAAGAGGTTTTAGGCATCGGTCGGATACCTTGCGTAATGCTAATGTCGGCGGCGGTACTGTAACATTCGAGCCTTATAACTCGAGAAGTACTTAATGAAAAAATATTTTATTATAGTGTTTTGGAAAGCTCTCGAGATAAGCTACAAGAATATTCAACGAAAAATGGGGCTTCCCATTTAAAAAAATAACCTTGACCTTCAAATGACCTTGAAAATGAAGGTCAAGGTCATTGTCAAGGTCATAGTTCAGTCAGCCCCTTCATATCCAACAATTTTTGTTTTAAACATTTTTTTATTTAATCGCGATATTTCGAGTTATTTGGCTGTCTAAGTTAAAAAGGGTCACCCTGTATATGTTATATTAACAAAGTATAAATCTATGTAAATGTATATAGTAAATTCAAATAAAATTCGAGAAATAAAGAATAAACAATACTTATATATAATACTTATATATAATACTTGCTGTTCTCTTTCCGTTATTGTTAAACGATCTCGTTGTTGACGTACTAAATCCTCTAATAAAATAATCCGTTCTATTAGAAACTTTCGTTTACTCACAGTACGTCAAGGCGAGAACAGAAATCTCGATCGTTGAAAAAATTACAACACACACACCCATATAAATATATACATACATATATATAAGAGTAAATAAGCGTATTACGATATAAATAAAGGTTACCATAAATTTTTTCCTTTCCCAGATGTTGTCCTCTTAGGCTGCGTTCGAAAAAGTTACTCAAATGCCACCTGCATGTATCCTTGTTGCAATGTTGAGCAAGGATAAGAAGATATACGAGGACACATGGGTAACATTTCCGAACATAATCTCGTAGGGCGTCTGGGGACGTTCAGGGGGATTTTCCAAAGGATATTTCTGAATAATTATCGTTCACGCTATTCTACTCCTTCGAAAAATCCTCCCGGACGTCCTGACAAAGACGATAGTATCCGAGGAGGAAAACGAAAGAGAAAAAATGGCAGCCCTAGTAAAGACTATCAGTATTTCGATATGCATCGCCAGCTACGTACTATATATCGCGTATACCTTCGCATATATATTTACAGCATAATTAATTAACGGATTAATTTACGGCGATATCTCTTTGAAATACGCGACAGACGCTGCGACGTGGTACATACAATATATAATCTATATTTTACATAAAATGTGTACTGCAATGAAATTACGTTTCCTAATAATTAAAAAATTCTACTTACATTTTTTCTCGGAATGCCTTATCGTCTAATATCACTGAACTAATAACTCCCGTTACGTAATGTTGTGCAGCCAACACGAACAGTAGGCAGGAACGAACTGGTCTGGTAGATTGGTAACGATTCCTTCCGTGCGAAGAAACAATCGCGAGACAACGTCAATCTTGCACGTGTCCAATCGTGCACGTGTCCAATCGTGCAGTGTCCAATCGTGCACGTGACCAATCGTGCACGTGTCCAATAGTGCACGGGTCCAATCGTGCGTGTCTAATCGTGCACGTGTCCAATAGTGTACGTGTCTAATCGTACCGTGTCCAATCGTGCACGTGACCAATCGTGTAAGTGTCCAATAATGCACGTGTCCAACGTTGCATGTCCAATCGTGCACGTGTCAAACCGTGCCGTATCCAATCTTGCACGTGTCCAATAGTGCGCGTGTCCAATCGTGCCGTGTCCAATCTTGCACGTGTCCAATCATACCGTGTCCAATCATGCCCGTGTCCAATCGTGCCGTGTACAACAGTGTACGTGTCCAATCGTGCCGTGTCCAATCGTGCACGTGTCCAATCGTGCCGTGTCCAATCGTGCACGTGTCCAATCGTGCAGTGTCCAATCGTGCAGTGTCCAATCGTGCACGTGTCCTATCGTAACGTGGTCAATCGGGATCCTCCCAATTGAAGATTTGTGGAGCATCGGTGGATGACGAAACG